GTTTTCCCCCTGGGGGGGGGGGGTGGCGGAAACCCCCAGGTAAGGGTTTTTAGCCCCCTTCCCGGTCTCTTTTTAAAAAAAAAAAAAAAAAAAGAATAGCTCAGCTGACGTAAGCCCAGCTTTTCAATGCTTTTCCTTGCTGGCATTTTTCTTTTAATCACCAAAGTAATCCCTGGTTGTTGCAAAACTTCAAACTGCTGCACAAACATATAAAGGAGTGTGAAAACCCCATCCCCAACCCCTCGAATTGATCACCAGGAGTGGGTGTCTTATTATCTTTGTCCATCGATGGATGGATAGATAAACAAAATGTGGTCCATTCAGCCTTAAAAAGGACAGAAATCCTGACATGTGCTACGGCATGGATGAACCTTGAGGACATTGTGCTTAGTGAAATAAGCCAGTCACACAAGGACAAACACTGTGTGATCCACTCATAGGAGGTCCCGAGATTCGTCAGAGCCACAGAGACAGAAAGTAGAATGGTGGATGCCAGGGGTGGGGAGGGGGATGGAGTGAGTGTTTAATGGGGACAGAGTTTCAGTTTGGGAAGATGAGAACGTTCTGGAGATGATGGTGGTGATGGTTGCACAGCCATGTGAATGTGCTTAATGCCTCTGAGCTGTGCATGAAACATGGTTAAGATGGTAAATGGTGCAACCATCTGGAAAAAAATATTTAAGATGGTAAATTTTATGTGTATTTTAACAGAATTAAAAAAAATTTTTTTTTAAGTTGGGGGCAGACTGGCTGGTTAGCCCAGTTGGTTAGAGCATGGTTCTGATAACACCAAGGTCCAGGGTTCGATCCCTGTACCGGCCAGCTGCCCAAAAAAAAAAAAAAAAAAAAAATTAATTAATTAGGTAACTTTTTTTGAAAAAAGCCAGACTAGTACACTCCCAAGGTCATGTGCAGGAGCCATTTCTCAGCCCATCCCTCCCACGCTAGCATTGGGGTCTCTCGGCCTTCTCTGTCTCTGCTCATGTGGCACGTCACGGGTGTCCAGTCCATGATTGTTCACTTCCTCCCACGGCCAGTCAGCTTCTCACCATCTTCTCTTGCTTGCAGAAAAATTTCGGCCTGCTCCAAGGGCATCCTTGACCCTGTGGCCCTTCAGGACAACTACAGCTACGTCATCGAGAAGTAAGCCAGCACGTCCACTTTACCCTGTCCCTCCCAGGACACCTCTGGTGGCCATTTGGCCTGCATATGCCAAGGGAAAATCAGGAATTATTTTTAAATTGGTATCTGGCTAGGAGAGAATCGAGCAGGGGTGAAGGAATGGACAGGGGAGTTGGCTGGGCCATGCTGTGCCCAGCCTCTGCAGACATGATTATCCCTGATGCAGTACAGCTGGTCTCGTGCGCTGCTCTGCTCAGACAGCATGTGCCCTCGAGCAGGTATGAGGTAGGGCTGGGGCACCTCTGTACGTTTTGTATGACACAGCTCTGCAAATACAGGCCGCAAGCCAGTCACCTGCCCAGAGCCGAGGCCACCCCTGGCGCTGTTGGGCCTGCTGATAGGCAGCAAGTCTGTAATTCACGGGGCTGTTTTAGTCTGTTCCTGCTGCTATCGCAAAACAACGCAGTTCTGGAGGCTGGGAAGTTCTAGATCAAGGCAGGTTCGGTGTCTGGTGAGGCCAGCTCTTTTCTTCACGGTCAGCACTGTGTTGCTGGGTCCTCACGTGGCAAAAGTCCTTCAGGCCTCCTTTATAGAAAGAGCTAATCCCATTCGTGAAGATGGAGCCCTTAAGACCTCAGCACCTCCCAAAGGCCCCACATCCCAGCACTACCACGCTGGGAATTAGGTTTCAATGTATGAATTTGGGAGGCACAAACCTTCAGACCACAGCAGAGATGTGTGAGGGTACTTGAAAAACTTGTGAGGGCCGGCCCGTAGCTCACTTGGGAGAGTGTGGTGCTGATAACACCAAGGCCTCGGGTTTGGATCCCTATATAGGGATGGCCGGTTCGCTCACTGGCTGAACGTGGTGCTGACAACACCAAGTCAAGGGTTAAGATCCCCTTACCGGTCATCTTTAAAAAAAAAAAAAAATTCGTGGAAAGAATGGATTTAAAAGATAATACGAGGGCTGGCTGGTTAACTCAGTTAGACCATGGTGCTGATAACACCAAGGTCCAGGGTTCAGATCCCTGTACCAGTCTGCCACCAAAAAAAAAAAAAAAAGTAAAGATAATACAGATATTTCCAGGAACTTTTTGAAAACCCCTCACATTAGTCAGGGTTCTCCAGAGACACAGAACCAAGAGGATGTGTGTGTGCACACACACATGAACGGAGAGACGGAGGCTGATTTTAAGGAACTGGCTGATACAGTTGTAGAGACCTGCTTTGTCCAAGATCTAGAAGGTAGGCTCGCCGGCTGGAACCTGACCATCTGCCAGCAAAATTCCTTCCTGCTCGTGGGGTGGCGTGGGCAGGTCAGTCTTTCGAAGTAATCAGCTCGGGCTGCCTTGACAACGTGCCACAGACTGTGAGGCTGAAACACGTTTGTTTCTGTTCTGTTCCCACCTTCAACTGACTGGGCGAGGCCCACCACATGATGGAGGGTCATCGGCTTTCACTCGAAGTCCACCGATTTAGATGTTCATCTCATTAAAAACAAACAGACAAAAACTCATCTTCACAGAAACATCTGGATCATGTCTGCCTAAACATCTGGGCACTATGGCCCAGCCAAGTTGACACATGAAATTAACCGAAACAGGAGGTTCCCGCGTCATTTAGATTGTGGCTCTGAATCCCCACCTCAGATCCCACTTCCACTCTAGGGGACCATCCACACCCTCAGAGAGGGAGCTGAGGCTGTGAGGGGCTGGACGTGTGGGCGGGAGCTCATGCCCCCCACCTCCATCTCCACTTCCTGCTCTCTCACAGGGAATTCTACAACCCCACCTTCCACCGGGTGAAGACGGACCTGGTGGTGAAGTACCCGTACCAGGAGCTGGGCTGTCCTCACCTCGTCTACTACAACACCCCCTGGAAGCCTGTGGTTGAACTGTAAGATCCCAGGGGGGTGCTGTGGGATGGCAACAGGGCCTTGTGTCCCCTGGTCCCGGGCCTCATGATCCAGGCTGGTGTCCCCTCTTCTCAGAAGATGCCTTCTCTGGTTTCACTAGTTTCATCAGCCCGGCCCCTCCCTGGGGGCTCTGTGCATCCCAGGGGGGCAGCCCAGCAAAAGGGGTGGGTGGGAGGCCGCCTGGGTTCCACTCCTGACTGTGTGATGTGGTCCTGGGAGGTGACTTCATTTCTGTCCTTCAAGCCCCTTATCTGTAAAATGTCAATGTCGGTGGGATAACGATGGAGGAAAATGACCCAGTAGTTGGTTTTCTGGCTTTAATAGTGCGTTGTAGTTAAGTAAGATGATTTTGTTGGGAGGAGCTGGGTGAAGGGTCCACAAGGACTCTGTGTCCCTTTTTTTTTTTTTTTTTTTTTGTGCAACTTCCCATGAGTCTTGAACTCTTTCAAAATTTAAAAATTATAGAAAAAAAAAATGCGTCATAAGCAGTCAACTTGCCTGGGCTGTCCTCGGCTCCATCTTGCATGGGACATGAGCTGGGACCAGCCACAGGGTGCTGGAAAAAGTGGGGACAGTTGGACTCAAGGGCTACAGGCTCAGGAGTTCCAAGGGAAGCCTGAGAGGGGCTGGCAGCTGTGTGGGGGGCAAACCTTGGCATCTGAGGTGTCAAAAGTGGCCCAACTTAGGGGGGCAGCCATCAGCACATGTGGCTAAAGAGCAGAGGGGAGAAGGTTCTGGAAGCGAAGCTACCAAGGGATCTGCGTGGACAGCCGTGTTGACAGTCCGAGCATCGGGGACGGCCGTGTCTCCAGCACCTGGGGGTTCTCTTTGGAACAAGATTCTGTTTCTTTTGGAGCAGCTCCTCTGCACCTACACGCACGTGCGCACAGACACGACACACACGGCTGCAACCTAGTTTATATCATGTCATCCATGGCAACGGAGATAGAAAATGCACCCCGAAAATAAGGATTAAAAAACCCACAAAGCCTAATTGACAACCCTAAGGGTAGACCTTTTTATGTTTGCAGGGGGCTGGCGGGGAGGGTCTTACAGGTGCGTTTGCCTATTCATTTGTGACGTTATTCAGCTACCGAGCACGACATCCGTCTCTTCCCGCTTCTGCTCCTCCGGCCCCTTCTCAGGGAGGACTCCGTCTCCATCCCGGATAAAATACCCCGCGCCGTCCCCACCTGTCCCCGAGAGCACCGGGGTCTTCGCTCTCCGGCCCCCAGGAATGGGGCGGGGCGGCGGCGGCCGAGGTCTCCTGGGTTGGCCGCCCTCCCGCAGCCGTGCCCGTGCGTGTGTCCGCAGGTGGCGGGAAGGTCGTTTCCAGGAGGTGGTGGAAGCCGAGTACGTGGTGCGGGAGGCGTACGGGCAGGTCGCCTACACCTACTCCCTGACGGCCGGCTCCGCGCTCTGCGTCTCGCAGCCGCAGAACTGGACCACGATGGAGGACTCGAGACGCGGGAGGAAGCGCTTCTTCTGGAACAGAGAGGTAGCGCCGGCGCGCAGGGGCACGGGCGAGGACGGAAGGCGAGGCGCCGCGTCCGTGGGGACCTCTCCCGAGGATCCCAGTTGGCCGAACCATCGGAAATGCCTGCACCGTTGCGTCCACGGGGCTTGGGGATGATGTCTGCAAAAAAGTCCGGAACCACCCGAACACCCGCAGCCAAGGGACTGGTTACATCCCCTGTCTGTCCTCAGTGAGCGTCCCTGCGATGCGGGGTGGCTGGTACAGCGTTGACAAATAAGGGCGTCATGTCCCTATAAGGAAGAAATCGCGCTGGTGCACGGGCGCGTCTTCCCAGCGCATCAGCTCACGGCGGGTCAAGGCCAAGGGCGCGGGCGCAGCGCCGCAGCGCCGCCAGCAGATGGCGCGCGCCGCCCGCTCCTGTCG